ATATGCATGCAACAAATTTGTTGGGATTTTTGATTGACATTATTTTGCAATTTAAAGAATTTGATTTTGAGTTTGATATGCTGATTGATTTTGTGAGTGTTGACATTATTTTGGAAATGATTTACAGTGTTGATTTATTTAAGAAATATTGAGATTGATATGATGTTAATTGATTTAAAATCTATTCTTCTTATATGGTTTCTTATTTTGATGAGTCAACTACGGTGATTTTAATAACTTGAATGATGATGGAATGTGATTAGGCAACTTTGATTTGCAGCACTCTTATAAAGAAATTGTTTCATTGATTTGATTTGATTGAAGTCAACTTGTATGTGCTTGTGGAAAGTTGAATTTTGATGAGTTAGTCGCTTTGCTAAGAGGATTCTACATTGCTACAAAAAAACGTCCAGATTCATAGTGTTCTGCAAGATTGAAACTGCATTTATGGAGAGAATATCTGGAATCTGTAGAAGTTGACTTTAGACTAGATTTTACTGTTTTGTTGTAACATATTTTGCAACAGATTGAAATTTATGGACTGCATTAATGTTTGTAAGTCTTTGTTTTTCACATTTGTTAGGAGAAGAATTTGTAGTCTTTGGGATAAAATGATTTGAAGTGTTGAAGGGACTTCAATGTTAAGTTGAGGGGAGCTCGCTGAATTTGGGTTTTTAGAATAAAACTGTATTGTTGAAGGGATTTCAACGTTAAGTCGAGTTATGCTCGCTGAGTAAGTCTATTGGGTAGTTATAAGTTCATAGACGTCATATTTAGAGAGGGAGTCTCAGATTGATTAAGTCCATTTCAATTATAACATTGTTTACTTAGTGGATTGTTCATCATCTGGGCGTGGCCCCGCAGAATATGTGGTTACCGAACTGCGATACTAACTTCTTGCGTCTTTTTACTATTTCATGTGTTTCTTATATTTGTTGCAATAAATTTAACAACAAACTTAGTAGAAAGACTCAAACCGGTACTAACAAAATTAAAACAATCTTAGTAGGCAGACAAAAAAGAAAACAAGAAAATGTGAACTATACAAGTACGTGAGGTATAATCTAATGGTAATTACATATCTTACTCGACTTTAAAAGTGTAAAGTTGAGCTGCCCTAAACTAAGTTCAAATCCACTCATTTCAAACCATTGCATCTTGTCTTTAATTTTTTTATTTTTGTTTTTGTTTTGTTGAATTTTCTTTGGTCCAAGTTATGAAAGCCCTCATGCAGATTTATTTATAGCTAAGCACAAATCCTATTTCAGGAAATCTCCCATGAAACTTAAAAAGATCATTATAAATGTATTTTATAATAATTGATATAATATTTATGCATGTGAAAAATCAAACATGAACTTAAACATTTTGAACGCATCTTTCTTAGAAATATAAGATGCTTCAATTTTAATCATCCACAAGACATCAATTCCCCCAATCCTCTAACATTCACTATATATATATATATATCTTCGCCGAATTTTAAAGAATGTATGCTCATTTGGTTTCTAATTTTGGGATGATTTAGAATAATAAATAGCTCTTATTTATAAACCTATAGAAGATATGAGGCTTAGTCCACAATGAATGTGGGACTTAGCTAAAAAGTCAATATATATGTCCACAAAGGACGAAATGTTTAGTCCACAATCGATGTAGGATTCAGCTAAAAAGCCTGTACATATGTCCCGATAAGATGGAATGCTTAGTCCATAATTGATTGAGGCTTTTTTTTTTTCCCGAAAAAATCATAACAAAATGTTTCTTTTTTTTTTTCCACAAAATTGGAGTTCTCTTCCAAAAGTCGGGTGAATCATTCACCTCACCTCTTTTTTTTCTTTTTTCTTTTTTTTTATAAAAATGTACTTACATTCTACCATAAATTTTTAGAGCATCTCCAACGCAATCATATATAATTGGTGTGATGCTATAATTTATTTGTCAATTATAAATTTAACATTTAAATGCAAAAATACTTTCTAATACAGTGTTATTTTTTATGTTAAATTTATCATATAATACACTATGAGACAAACTTCTCACCATATATAACATATGACAAATTATTAATCATTGTAACTTATGCATTTTTAAATTATTTATCATATAATACATTGATATGTTTACTCTTTTTATGTAATCATTGTAACTTATGCATTTTTAAATTATTTTAAAAATAAATTTTATTTTTATAACTTTCAAAGTGTAATGATTATGGGAAAAATAGATTTAGCATTTTAAATTGTTTCATGTATTGGAGTACAAATTAAAATAACATATGCTAACTATCATATTTTCTAGTGCCAAATATACAATTGGTATTAACATTTGCATTAAAAAATGATGTATACCGTAAAACCGCGATAAATGAATGCATAAGATACTAATCTCTATAAATGCATAATAACATATTAATTTCACTACATCCATTATCTTTTTTATTTATAACTTATAAATAAATCTTGGTAAAAAAATAATATATGTACCAAGATGGCATAAGTTATTAACATATAAAATTTTTCTTAAATTAATAAATATTCATTTACTGATAAATTAATAAATTATATTTTTTTAATCCCAACAATATTATTTTATAGTTGTTTTACTTACCTATTCGTATCCCTTGCACTTTACATATCATGTAAAAAATATCGTTGCATTTTTAACCGAATTTGTTAAACGTATGGCATAGGTGCAGCATTCCTGAAAGCAAAAGTGGAGTGAACCATTTAGATAAAATTAGTTGAAACACGCATAATATTCAATATGTTATATTTTTTGAACATGCAGATTTAAAATTTATTTTAAGTCTAATATAGAGACAAAACAACAAAGAAAAAAATTAATTTAACGAAATAGATTCGAAAACATATAACATATATAATAAGGGAAAACCAACACAAAATAGAATATTGAGAAGAAACAAAAATAAATTAAAAGGAAAAGGTATTTTAATGGAATACATCTTAAGATATAATATTACAAAGAAAAAATCAAGGAAAAGGCGGTATCCAAAAGGGAAAAATAAAAATAAAATTAAAAGAAAGCAAAAAAAAAAAAGACTAAAAAGTGTAGTTAGTATATGTACATGTATATATATATATATATATTAAAGATTTTATAAATATTTCAATCAACATTTTGATTTTGGTTGAATATGTATAGACAATTAGAACATGTATACAAGTAAAATATTTTAGCGGGTAATTCAAACAACACAATTAAATTAATTATGCTGGACATATGAAAAAAAAAAATAGAAAAGGCCGCATGAAAAAAAAATGTTTAAATAGCCTAATAGGGACATATTCAAGAAAAAATAGTGAGTTAACATATTAAAAAAACAATATTTTGAGAAAACAATAATTGAAAGGATTGTGCGAAAAGGCTGTTTTAAAGAGACATACTTGAGAAACAATTTTTTTTAGTGAGGCAATTAAAAGAATTATAAGAATTAATTTTGATATAATAAGTTTTACACGAAAAAATTAACGAGGGACACATTCATACAAAATTTATTTAATAGGAACAAGAGAGGAAAAAAACTGTTTTAATTTTTAGAAAAGCACATTAAAAGAGAATTAAAATGTACACAAATTTTTGACAAGGAAAAAAAAATGAGGTAAGGATATATTTGAAAGAATTATTGTAACAGAAACAGAGTGATGGAAAAAAATATTTCAAAAAGACACGTATTAAAAATAAACTATATATAAGTTTTAAGCAAAAGAGAAAGAAAAAAAAAACCCCCCAGAAACAAAAAAGTAAAAAGCAAAAAACAAAAAATGAAGGAGAAAAGAAGGATTAACATGTAGCCAAAGGCAGTTTAAAAGAGACATACTTGAGAAACAATTTGTTTAGGTGAGCCAATTAAAAAAATATTTATAAGAATTACTTTTGATATAATTAGCATTACACAAAAAAAAAAAAAAAAAAGTAAATTGCAACGGTGCATTCTAAACTACTCAGCTTTTACCGAATGCACCTTTAACTTTTAATTTTCACAAACTACACCCCAAACTTCAGAATCAGTTATAATTAAAGTACAATAGCAGATTGTGTTATTAAATTAATAGTTCGAGATACAAGAATTGTATGTGATACGATTTAAAAAATGATGATCTTCATCTTTTATGTGCGAATCTCATGTCTTAAACCGTCAATTTAATAACAATCGTTAACTAGTGGACCTCAATTGTAACTAATTTTAAAATTCTAGATGCAGTTTGCTAAAATTAAAAGTATGATGTGCATTCTGTAAAAACTAAATGATTTGGGGTGTATCAGTGCAATTTGCTCGAAAAATTAAATAGACACATTTATACTAATTTATTTAATGTGAACTAGAAAGGAAAAAAAAAAAAAACCTATAAGAAAATTAAAATCTACACGAGTTTTTGACAAGGAAAACAATAAAAAAATGAAATAAAGATACATTTGAAAGAATTATTATAACAGAAACAAAGTGATGAAAAATATATCTCAGAAAAACACATAAAAATAAATTATATAGGAAAGGAAAAAAAAACAAAGTAAAAAGCAAAAAACAATAAAAAAAAAAAGAAAGAAAGAAAAAGAGAGGTGAACACGTTGACAAAGGAGAGAATTTCATGACTATAGAATCATTCCTGACTCTTTTAATTATGTGTGTTAAAGATACAAGAAAGATTTTTTTATATATGTATTATTCTTTTAATGAATGATATGATAGCCATATTTTCCTCAATTTCGATTCTACCTACGTTGGAACTTCTCAGGTTGCTCCATCCAAGAGGTAGAAAAGGTCGGTGTCATGGGCAGAACCTTAAGAAAGGAGCTTCTTTTAATGAACAAACAGCAACATGCCATCAACAAAGGAATTTCTCATTATCATATAACACAGGAAGAAAAGATATAGAAAAGAATTATATATATATATCACCAAAAAACAACTAATTGAGTATTTCAATATAATTTCTTTTCGAAAAATAAAAATTTAAGCAAAACCAAGTAATTGCGTGTAGTGCATACTCATTTATCCATTTTATTGTCGTCTCCTTAAAAAATTTCTGACCATAGCCAAAGGTCAACAAGTACCTCAGACTGAGATTTGCCATTTTTAACCAAAACCATATGTTCTTCAAATAGACCGCTGCAATAATCTGCCTGGCGCTTCTCAAAAGATAGGTAACTTTCAACATCATTTTCAATTAGGCCCTCATGCAACTTTAAGCATTGCCTCCCGCAATCCATCGCCAAACACCACCAGAACCTTGCTTTTGAGCAGCTGAAGCGAGCTCGATATCCCGTTCAAATGCAGACTTCTGTCTTCGAAGTACTTGCACTTCATCCTCTATTGCTTGCATTGATTCCAGCATCTTATGCAACTCGGTGATCTGGGCCTAAAAAATTCACATTTTCATTGAGAAACTTAGTTGCTATACAAAACCAATTGAATTTCCCAAAGAACACGAAATTAGCAAATTGAGTTAAAAACAAATGAAATAAAAACTGGGAATGAAGAAATTAGAAACCTCAAGTTTAAAGCATCTTGATCTCTCAGCTACCAGTTGTCCCTGGACCGAACGGAGTTCCTGAAAGGAGACCATACAAATGATGAAAAATTCTACAAGTGACTGAGAAAGATTTGCCTTTTGCAAGTAATTGATCAAAAAAGGATACCTTCCCCAACTCAGCATGAGTACCATTGACTTCTTCAGTCGCCCCTTTCAACTTGGAATTTTCTGCCTCGACTTCTGCGAGTGACAATTCCAACACATTTTTCTCTTCTTTAATCGCCTCGATCTCAATTTCGACATCTTTTGTGGAAACAACTCCAGTGGATTTTGACTCTACATCTACGGACTCCAATTTTCCTTTCTTGCTCAGGGCATATGCAGCAGTCACAGAAGCAGCAGCAGCTGCAGCTGCCGGTGACTGCAAAATCTTGGGTCGTGATAAGTCTGTCGGTTTGGGCCTCAGAACAAAAACCTAAGAAAAAGGCAAAGAAAACAAATAAGAGATAATATAAAAGTACAAGATGCACAAATGAGATGGAAAAATAAATGTCTTCCAAAAAGATTTCAACAAACATCAGTAGCGGAATAGCACACATGAAGATAGGACGTATAAAATCTGTATACATGAAGATAAGACGTATAAAATCTGTATGGTTCCACCTCCACAGCATGCATATCACCATGTCATAGTCATAAGCAGGGTAGAGCACAATATTATTGATCAAACAACTTATGCATAAACTATATTCTTTAACTAACTAGAAGATTACCTCGTTGCTATATTTCCCATTGTAGCCACCAAAGGCAACCAGATGCTTCTGTCCTTCGATTAACACCGAGCAGACACTGACTCCCTGTTTCAAAATTTACATTTATACATCACATATTAATCAATACATACGGTAACTTTCTTCTTCATGTACATGCTGAACCCTTTCGCGTATAGGAGGACAAATCATATCAGGTCACTGGTTTTCCAATGACAAATCACAAATGTGTGCTCCAAGAAGAGGGACACAGAGACTGTTCTTTAAGGCAGCTAAGTAGGTCATGCGGGAAGAGGAACAGTCCTTGCTGGATGATGCATATCAAGATTTTAACCAAAAAATAAAACACTGTTTTTATTTATGATAATGCTTTGGAAGTTATACTAAGTGATCCCACAACTGACATCTATCCATAGAATTTCCTAAGTTGAAAGGTAAAACGTAGTGGCAAACAGAAAAGACTTGAAGAAATCTAGAAATAGCTCAAAAAATCATAATAAAAAGTATATTAAAGAAAGCACAAATTAGTGACCTCACTAGCAAGAGGATCTCTTTGCTTCACACTAGTCAACACTGACCAGACAAGCTTAGACATATCTAGGACCAAGGTTTCTGGGCAACCTGCAAACAAATAGTTATTTCAGGCAGCATTATTCAAACAAGGGGAACCAAAGGAATCATGGAAGCTACCGAAGGAAATAGGAAATAAATATAAGCATCATTTGAATAGACTAATCACATAGCATTGTGCATACCATTACGATTATCTCCACCACCAACTATATACCAATTTTCATTTATAGTTATTCCAGCATGACCTGCCCTAGAAGCCACCAAATCACCTAAAGTTTGTGGTTGGGACCACTCCATCTGCAATATAGGGGTATCTTATGATGCCAAACTTCAATTATAAACAGAAAAGAATGCTAACTATTGCAGACATAAAGCACCCAAGAAATTAGGTAAAATTCAAAGTAATTTACAACGATAAAGGCCTATAAACAATACGTTAGTTTAGAAACTTTTAATAAAAAGATAAATTTTGTCAAGGAGCAACCATATTATTTTTTTCTGATAATAACCAAAGAACCTTTATTGAAAAATTGAATCAATTCAAAAGCATCCTGTGAGACAATACATATGAGTATGTACGAATAATTGTTTCAATGCCAAACATGCTTGGGTATGTATGCATTTGGCTTACAGGCTTTTGTTCAATCAGATCAATGAACATATAAAGAGGGAAGAAATTAACAACAGTCCAAAACGAAAATAAAAACACCTACAGACTGCAAATCCAGCACGTGAAGATCATTGAAGAAACTAGCATGAGAGCAACCACCAAAAATTAAAAGGTAACGTTCCGCATGTACTGCAGCTGTATGATCAAATCTGGGAGCTGGAGGTGTCTGCCTATCATAACACAAGAAAGTAATCCAGAAATCTTTCAAAAGCTTACAAGTAGTTATCCAGAATAGGTATTAGATACTTACATTGTTTCCGCCACATCCCAAGTCATCGTCTCTAGATCAAGAACACTGACATCATTCAACAATCTTCTGCTCCCGTCTTCTCCACCAAACATTATAAGTCTTGAACCAACCAGTGTCGTGGATTGTCCCCCACGAGCTACCTGGAATATGTAAGCATACCAAATCCCTTAGCCACAGAATATTCAATCAAGTGCCAAAAGAATGACATAACATTGCTGTTAAAAGAAAGAAACAACAGGGATGAACACGTCCGTAGAAAATCATAACCGGCAACCAAAACAGGAAAAAGAAAATGGATCACGTCACAGGTAGACAGCTAATAAATCTCTCCATATGAACATAATACAAGAATGAACTGCAGTAATTGATAAGGAACCAAAGATTTAGTTATCAGTAAAGTTGGCTAGTTACCGGAACTTTTCCCAATGTCTCCATGATGCCACAGCGGTGTGTTTCCAAATCAATGAACCAAACTACAAGTCCGTCAACATTGCATAAGATTCCATATTATACAACACGTTTAAAATAAAAATCAAAAGGGTGGGGAAGAAAGAATAAAAGTCCCTTAAGCAGAAGCAAATTATCTTGAAGCAACCAACCTATGACTTCACCAGATAATTTCTTTGAGTGCCCACCAAGGAGGAGAAGTTTGTTTTCCCACTTAATCTGTCACAAATATGAGCAATTGTCTAAGTTATATTTGAAAACCAATTTGAACAGCCTAGAAAAAAAAAAAAAAAAAAACCCCCTAAGAAATCACAAAAGTGCACAAATACAGGACGCCTCATCAAGTGAATGCATACCATATTGTGACTGGAGATTGGTGAAAGAACATCTTGCGAGTCACTCTCTTCAAGTTTAACAGCATTTGGTTTCAGTTTTATAGTAGACCATTCCAAATTTTCAAAGTCAAACACCTGCAAAGATAGCAAAATATAATATGACATACAAGGACAGACTTTGTTTAGAAGTAGAAAATCCCTTCCGATACCTGAACATCAGATAGGTATCGCCCATTACGACTCCCACCAGAAACATATAATTTCTCATCAACAACTGCAGCTGCATGCTACAGTGAAACAAAAGGCAAATGGTATGGTGAAAATCTGGTCCATGAGTAAAAAGACTGCTTTCAGCTGAAATTAACACCAATCATCAATTTACGAAATTTACATAACCTCAATGGTTACGAAACTGCTAGATCTACAATAAATCTAGCTTTGTCCAAAACTTTATTAGACTAAAAGGGTACTTTTTATATACCTTGTAGCGAGCCGATGGCCGTGAACCGGGTACAGGGAGTGCTAACCACTGGTCATAGGCCAGCTCCGATTGCCAATTTCTGATGTTCGCATCTTTCCTAATCTCTTCTGTTCCCATAGCAGGTGTCTACAGGCAGGAAGCTCAAATCCATAACTTCAGATTGCTTGACATTTGACTCAATAAAGAGTAATGTGACAAAATTCACGGTCATAAATAAACATGTATAGATATAATAAAGACTCCCTCAGTGGACCTAAACCAACTAGCTTTGAGCTTTTCCAAAGGGAAAGAAAAGAAATTGCTTTGAATATTATAAATTGACGGAATTGAGTAACGGTAAATTCTTAGAGATGATAATTGCAGAAGAGCCGAGAAAAAAGGTGATAAACAAAATGTCATTCATACAAAAAAAATAAAAATAAAAATAAAAACACAATTCTTTCAAAAAAATCTTTGGCAGTTTCAGAGCCATTTTAATTACTTACGCCTGATAAATGTATTTAAACCCATGATTCTGATTCAGCTACATTGTTTTCTTCTCATAAAGAATTTGAATAAAAAAATTCCAGCCAATGATACTCTCACAAAGTTTCTGCCAATAAATCAGAATCACTGAATTAAATCCGTAAACCAAATGGCCCTTAATCATCAGTTTTAGTGCCTATTAGCTCATTTAGAATTTCAATGTATAGAATCTATTTTCTAAATTCACCCACGATTTAAGCCATTTAAGCTACAATGAATATCAAACATTAAATTTAGATAATTCTCCAAGCAAATCATATTATTCAAACTCAGAACAAAATTACTTTCAAATTTAACCTCCGTATATTTTCATGAAAATGACAATTCTTAAAGGACTTGAAAGAAACATACCATCACAATGCGATAATTGCAATTAAGAATGTAAAAAAAAAAAAAAAAATCATTTTCAAATTAAACCTCCGTATATTTTCCACTTTCAGTTTGAAATTTTCTCGGGAACCAAGCAAAGAGGTAGGTGTTTGGTTTGAGAAATCGAGTTGTACCTGAATTGGGCGAGGTGCTGAAGGGAGATGGTTGGATCTGGAAGAATCAAAGACCGCCGTAGATCACTTTGGATCTCAACTAGTCGGTTAGTCCGTTGAGTTCGTCAGAGTTGAAAGTTTGTCCGTCTTTTCTTTTTTTTTTTTTTAATAAAAAAAATTGTCTGTCTGAATTGTCTTAATAATAATAATAATAATTATTATTATTATTATTATTATTATTATTATTATTATTATTATACTAATATTTATAAAAACATAATAACAATAATAATAATAATAATAATAATAATAATAATAAAGATTAATTCCATAAATAATTTCTGAAGTTTACTTATTCTCACTTCAGTCTTTGACTTTTAAAATGTCCTACAATTAGTAAGTTTTACTTTATTTCAGTTTCAATCAATCTGTTGACTGAGTGTTTAATATTTAACATAATTTGTTTAAATTAAAAACTAAAATTGAAAACATTTAAAATTTAAAAACTATTTGTGGAAATTAAATGTTTTTATATTTTTTTAGTCCTTAAACTTTAAATATTTTTAATTTTAGTCTTTAATTTTCACAGATTCTGTCAAATATTTAACACTTCTTTAACAGAAAGACTGAAACTGAAACAAAATAAATATTCAAGAACTAACTGTGAATCATTTTAAAAGTTAAAAACTAAGGTGGAATTGAGGATAAACCTCATAAACTAGGGATGTGGTTAGGGCTGTTCATGGGTTGAGTTGGTGCGGGGTAGAGCTTTTTCTTTCCCTAAGC